GGCCTCCTGGAACCCACTGTTGCCTCGCTCGGGAAGTACACGAACTTCTCCTTCTCAGTGATGCGAGTCCTTCTGTCCCGCTCAGTCGGGAGCGGGTTCAGTCCTAGCTGTGATCGAGCTGATTCGAATGACTCCAGCCAGCTGAAGCCGAGGAGGCCAATGGCCGGCACAACAACTGGCAAGAAGGTAACTTGCTTCTCTTTAGTGCGGGCCGTCTTAACCTTCATGAGGCTGCCTTCAAGGAACTTGCCTTCAATTTCTCCGCACTCCAACCTGTTCCCATCAGAACAACGCAATCTCCCGAAAAGAAGCAACAGAGCAAACCCCGCGAAAGCCCGAGTGTACAGGTCGGACTCATACTCCGCTGCCAACTCCAAGATACAGATCATTGGGATGGTAAGTGCAGGAGCACGTTTAAGAGGAGATTTACTGACATACATCATATGAGCAACTCCCAGGGCTCTCTGTGAGAAAGCCGCAGATGCTGCATCGCTCATTCCCATGAAACCTGACAAGAATGCAAGAGATCCCATGAATGTTGACCCCCGCGTAGCGGGAGCATTGACCTGTCGCAAGTGACACAAATATTTGTATGCGCTGTCCTCGGTTGGAGGCAGAGCCACCTGTTGCGGAAACTCCTTGTTGAACCACTTACAAAACAAACACAAGGAGTTAACACGTGTCCTCAATGTAGACGTGGATTTGCGAGCGAAGTGATCCTGTAAGATTTGCCAAGCTTGATTGTCATCTTCATGCTTGCTGGTCTCGTCGATCAATTGACGTCCAGCTGCCGTTGCCCCCGGATTGATCAAGAGCAGCTCACTCCATTTCTGTAGCGCGAGACTGCGATCAGTAGCTGCGCAACTTGAGGCGGCTCGGTCGATGTACATGCGCACTTTAGCTTGTTTCGACTCCAGGGACATCGGATTCGAATGCCCACTATGTTCAAGGTGCGGCAGATTTGAAGGAACAGCAAGATGCTCAAGCCATGGCGTCGCACTAGATCCTAAGACATGTTGAACGAAGGGCGATTGTTCCCACGGGAACGTCGGAAGCCCCACAGGTCTTCCGGCCATACGAGCGATTTCAAGAAATCGCTGAACATCGAGGTTAGGTGGACTCCCCACTTTTCCCTCAGAATCACCCCCGTTCATCACTCTGACCAGACACCCTGGTCTTTCCCACCCTCCCATCCCCTTGATCATACATGTCAGATGTAAGCAATGATGCGTGACAAATGGCATCATTTACACTCGTGTCACAAACAAGGCGCCACGAGGAATCGTGTTGCAACTCAGGGCAAGAATATCGATTGTGGCGGCATTCATGTGACCAACGAGCTTCTTCCTAAACGTCGGAAGGACTGAGGTTGCGCCGAGTGTCTCACACCTCGGCTCGACCACGTGTGCCGTAGCTGTCGGAGTTGCTGATGTTCAACCACGGCAGCGGCGAAGCTGTCTAAAGTGATAGAAACCTTCCATCAATAGCAGTGGTTTCAGACATGGTTCAACCCTTCACGTGGTAAAGCAAGCTATTGCCTACCTACCTCTCGACTGCTCTCGACACTGTCTCTGAGAACGGCAATGCAGCTGCGGCTTTGCAAAACGCCGCTTCTCACAGGCACGCGTGACGTGGCACAATGCCTGGAAGATGGACAATGTCTCCTTTGTGACATCCCAGGCTGCCAAGAAAAAACAGCTGGCGTCCCAAAGCAACTCCACCTGCACCACCTGCTTCAGGAGAACATCTGGATGTGGGCACAACCAGGATGCACATGCAAGCACGCCCAATGCAAACAGTTCAGCGAGTTGGAAAGCAGTCCTCAAAACCCAACGCTTCCAAAGATTCCTCTTGAGTCGAGGGTGCCTCGGAGGACGAGCCGACCAAGTCCTGCGCACAACAGGACAACAGCGCCAACCTATGATATCTCGCACAGTGCACAGCAGGCTGCTGGTTAATGAAGCTTGAGGCTCCTCTAAGGACTTCTGATTCAGAACTGGTCGCTCTGCTACAAGAGGTGCCGGTCCATCCACTGTTCCCAGCATCACCTGCATCGTGGCGGGGAGCACTGGATTCGGCTGGCGCTGGCAGAACAAGTTTCCTGGCCTCGTTGCTGGTTGCCCAGAGAAGGTAGGTCCCAGCAGCAGCCAGGCTGCGAAGCCGCCCCAAGTCCTCCAAAGGCTCAGGTCGAAGTACCTCTGCTCAGCATCCCTTCGAACTCGAAGCTTGTGGCTGCGGTATCAGTCCCCCGAAGATGCGCCTGACGACACGTTTCACCGCTTGGGTGTGGCTTTCAGATTTCAAGATCCATACAGCCAGATGAGTGCGTCAGCTTCCTTCATGGCCGGCACATCTTTCTGGGGCCTAATATGCCTACATGACACAGTGTCACCTCCCAGTCTGTTGCAGTGGTCCACTGATCTCAACATCCGGCAGTCCTTGTAGAGCACCTGCACCAACGGAGCCTTCTCGTTGGAGGTCAGCAGAGCCTCGGTGGCAAGAGGCTGGGAGCTGTCTGTGAGCATTTTGGGTTTGGTTCCGAAGAGTGCCGCCTGATGTCTGTCCTGCTCTCTAAGCAAGCAAGATGCAGAATTATGTTTTGGTTGCCAGCAACCGCATGATGCAGAATGCTTCGGTCAGCAACTGCGCAGAGTCTATAGCCTCTCTCTACGCGGTAGCTGTGAAGTCAACCAGTAAGTAGGACATGTGCAAAGCTGCCTGAAGCACATCGTGAAAGCAGGGGAAAGCCGTGGCCAATCTAGCTCCGCCGAGTCTCATCCTCATCTATTCGCAAGATCTTCCTTCGCAAGGCAGCATGCAACAACGATGCCGCAGAAATGGCGAAAGTAGATGCGGAGAGCTCTAAAAGCCAAGCTGGATGAGTCAATGGAGCATCTTCTGTCGGAAAGCACATTCGCCAAGTGCAGCCGACGATGCTCGTCCGATGTGGCGACGAACAGCGCAGCAGCTTGGATCTTCAGGTCGATGATGGTGGGCGTTGTGCCGTGTGCCTCCACGGAAAGCACGGCCATGAGTATCCAGCACAACTGCGATGGTCCTTCTAACTCTAACACTTCACAAAGCCCGACACGAGCCCAACCTTCGAGGTAAAGACCACCTCCTTCGCATAGAAACTCATGACGTGGCCATCGCCGACACTGACAGACCAGCGGGTGACGCTGTGTCCTGTCCAAGCATGGACACATGTGAAATTGACTAAGCGCAACAGCCCGAGAGAAGGTGGCCCCGTAACCTACTCCGAACTCCCCGAACCCCACGAGACTTTCTGCAACTCTTCCAGCTAGTGTGCATCAGAGATGTGGGATGATTGCGCGCGCGTGCGCTCAGCGTAGGGTAAACACTTCACAAACTCCTGGCAGCCAGCTTTCGCGAAAAAGGGGGAGAAAGAGCCGGAGTTTTGCCTTTTTGCCCAGACGCACTAACTTCCAGAAGCCATCTGACCCTGACTTCGGCCTCTCCTCCACTGGATGCCAAGTAAAGGAAGCGGTTGTCAGAATCGAAAGCCATGAGAGTTTCGGAGTCGGCCGAGTCGGAGCCGAGGTTCAGCGAGCCTCAGGCACATGCAGGTCCTGGCCTGGCGCTGCTCTACATGCTGTGCAGTCCAGGTGCCGACTGCCTTGGCACAGAATCACAGCACTCTCGGACTGAGCAGATTCTGCAACACTGCATACTAGTGATGCTAAAATCAACAGAGCTGAAGCCGGAACTTGTGAAGCACTCTGACAGTATGAAAAGCGAAATTCACACACTTTGGCACGGCACGGATGGCTGCGACGAGCTACCGACTGGACGATGGAAAAACAGAGGAGCAGGACATGAGATGACGATGAAATTGTATTTGGTGCGTAAGCATGCCAGACACCAGGAATCGCATGCTAAAGCAATGATCCGTTGGGGTTTTCATGGAGTGCGGACGGGAGCTTCGTTGGACAGAGCCCCTCCGCACTGCCTCTGTCCCCCTGCACAAAGAACCGCTTCAGGAAAGAGCAAAGCAGAGGGGTCGCCATGTCCAGGCGTTTGCACGCACGCACGCGCGCACACACACACACACACCCACACACGCCCACCTACCCACCCACCCACCCACCCACCCACGCACGCACCCACAGGCTATGCAGGTGGTGCACGATGTTCCGCACCTCACGACAGAAGCCTCTCAATGCTGCTCGCTCACGACGCCTGCTTAATCTTGCTCGAGCAAGCTGCTGAAGACATGGTCCAGTCAATCTCCTCCTGCTTCGCCAGAAGTTGAGATGAAACCCTTGGCAGTCATTGCTGCGAGGCCAGATGCCCAAGCCATCAGAGAGAGATTGAGGGAGGGAGGGAGGGAGAGAGAGAGGAAGAGAGCGAGAGGATTGTAGTTAGCCCTGTATGTTTGCTTCGGCTTGTACAGAAGCGGAAGGGTCTGCGGTCGTGTCTGCAGGACGAGAGACAGCCCATGGCCCGGCATTGCTGCCACCAGAAAATCGTAGCCGCCACACTCTGCCCGGACGCAATCCTTCCAGCAGGACAACCCGAAAGGCCCGGATGTGACACCGAAGAAAGGCCACTGCATCTGAGGCTCCACACTTCGTTCCTGCTCTTCTGGGCATGCAGCTCCCCCGTCAGCCGCAGGACGCAGGACAGACCTCCTCCTCGGCAGGAACGGTGACTGTTGAAGCCGGCTTAAGCCCTGACACAGCAATGACAAGCCTGGAGCGAACGGCCTTGAACCCTTGAACATGGCAAATGCTACGAGAGTATGCACCATGCATCGGCAAGGTGCAGCCGCAGCTCGACTTAAGAGGTACTTATTCGTGCTGCTTATGCTCGTGCGAAAGCGCACAAGGAGCCCCCGATCAGAAAAGCTACGCACCGAAGAGGATACAGTGCCGCTTCAGTTGAAGCTGCAGCTTGCATGCTGTCCAGGTTCTGGTGCAGCTTGCCATAACCACAAGTGGCCGAGCACACAGCCATGTTGATCCACTGGCCTTAGATCACTGAAAAGACGGGGCTTGCATGCGCGTTGGCAAGGGTGTCCTTTCAGGCTGCCGGCAATTGGCACGTGTTAATCGGCTCACAGACCACTTCTAATCCGCAAAGTGCAATCTTACAGAGCATGCTTGCACGATGTTGCCCCAGCTCTTCTGAGGCCAAAGACGAGCAGAGCACCAACTGCCTGGTGCAGCCATGAAGCCCATGAGGCAGTCCGTGGCACGCTCCGGGCATGGCTGGTCGAAGCATTCCTGCACCAGCGCGCTGACGGATAGTGCTAAAGGTAACCATCGCCAATGCTAAACAACTCATCCGGACACCGGGGATGTCTAGCGATTCTTTTCGTGCAGCTACTTGTTAGTCAAAAGTGCTCCCGCGAATTTCGAGCACCGGGTGCTCTATGCTGTCAGACTTCTACATCAAACATTGTTTAGAAATGTGAAGAAATGCTAGGCAGCCGGTGCACACAACCCCATCGGATACCATGATCGACTTGTACCCCTGTAAAAGAAGCAGACGACTGTCCCGCGAGTGTAGGAGCTACCAAGTCACTGTGTCGATGCCTTGCAGGTGTGAGTCGCATCAGTCACAAGTCACTGGCTGGTGCTTGCTTTATCTGCTTCCCCGCCCGCCTAGCCGTCCGGGTAGCACTTCGCATTGCTGGTTTGCAATTCTGAAGCCGACTCTGCGATGGCCGTGTTATTCACGACCGGTTACCGATTTACGAACCGCCGGCCCGCATGGATGTGGATCATATGCTTTGGCAAACCCAGCGATGCAGACTTTCGTGTGAACTCCTTTCGCAGGCCTTGTGCCGGATCTGTTGCTTCGAGCACGGCCGACCACCACCAGAGGCTGGGGTGAGGATGGGCCGAATAAGCCTCGCAGCTGTAAACCTCTACTCAGCCTGGAGGCATCAGAATGACTGTGACAAAATTAAAACTTGCCTGTAGCTGTAGCTTGTTGTTTGACTGTTTGTGCGCCCCGCTACTGTACTTGCTCACAAAGCTGCTTCTGCACGCCGCCGCCACATGTCTTCGTACCTCCACTTTGAAGCGTTGACGGCTCCGGAGCAAATGAAAGGTGTGTTCGGTAGAGCTCAACAGGTAATATTAGATTGTGGAGATGCTACAGCTCAGGAGCAGACAATTACCCTGCTCTTGCCAGTCTCCAAGCACACAATCCGTGCCACGGACGTGGAAGCTGTGGAAACCTGGCATCACTGTCCCTTGCTATCCCTTGCTTTCTCTGTTGCCGAAACACCACATATTGATGACTGAGCGGCTGGTCAACACTTTCTGCTGGTCTTTGAAGACGGGGTGGGGTGCCACAGACGCCGAGAAGTTCTTGGTTGCGTCGCGATACTCCAATGAGTATGGACACGAAGCCGCCATTTCATGCGATGCGGGCAAATCTGGCCGAAATTGGCATCCAATGTGCTCTGTGCGGGCTGGATGCGACTGGGAGCGAGTACAGGCTGTGCTCGGACGCGACATAGAGAACTTGCGAGTGGGCACCTTGGCTCACCATCAGCGCTTGCCGGGGCCAGTCGCGGGTCGCTTGAGCTCCGTTTCCTCGAGACAAGAGTCTGAGCCACAGTTTCTCTACAGGCCACTCCTTGGCTGCAGCATCTTCGGAGCGCAAATCTGCGGGAAGGCTTTTGAATTTCTCTGCACTCTTCTGTAGGGTGACAGGTGAAAATCTGGGCAGCTGGAAGGTTGCATTAGATACAGAGTTGCCGATGCATGCGAATTTCCACACCATCATCTTTCCACTCAGATTCCTACACTTGCAAGTATCCCAACGGCTGGCTAAAGCCGTGGCATGAACCTTCATGAAACTCTCACACACCCACTCACATTCCTAGACTGATAGATTTCTTACTTGCTTGCCGCGATTAACTGTCCCGCTGCCCTGAGTCTTGCCTTCTCTGTTGTCCTACGAATGCAAATGTCAGCCACAGCGGCGAAGACGGTCGTGACCACACTGCCGCTGCGCGGTGGCAAAAGCAGCCGGCTGACTCGACAACTCTGAGAGGTGGCACCTCCGAGTTAAGGTGGATTTGGCTCTTGCCGCTCAGTGAGGCCCGATGCAGGATGCCAAGTAACTGCTCTCTCACACTCGGACTCGCCGGATGATGTCTGTGGTTACTGGTTTCGCAGTCAGCTTGGTGAACCGTGCAATAGACAAGTCAGAGGGACCAAAGATAAGCCTATACACAGCAGAACGACAAGGGGATCAATCCGAAACAGTCGAAGTCCGAGGTGACAACCGAGACACAAGACACTGTGCACGTCCGTGTGCTCAGAGAGTGGCTATGCAAGGGCGGAGGGGTTGCCTTCGTGCACAACGAAAAAGAGGAGCTCGTCTAAAGGATCCGCTGCCAAGTATGCGATCGAAGAGGTGCTACCTCCCAACTTCTGCAGCCTTGGAACATTTTTCCAGGACCCTTCAATGGCACATGCGTGACAACGGAAGGCTGAGTGGTGGCCAGAGACTACTATGTACGCTGAAGCAGGCTCCCTGCAGAACCCACTATGTCCTCTGCCCTATGCCCCATGTAAGTAAAGCATACCACACATGGACACGAACTCGAAAATGAAAGCACCCAACATGTTCGCTCCAAAGCCACATCGCATGTTCGCAAGACTTGCTCAGTAGAGAGAAAGACATTTTAGCAGACCTGCAGCGATGCTCTGTTGCCAGAAGCCTCTTTGCGGCGAAGTTGCTGCTCCTGTCCGAAGATCGCGCGATGACCGCCGCTTCCATCGCTCGGACCCACGAAGATGTCTGTAGCCGTGGACCTCGGAGCGGGAGCACGAAGTCCAGACTGTTTTTGCACAAACAGAACAACGTAACACACCAAGCCCCTGGCCAGTAGAGAGTCCGTCCGCCCTCGCCGACAGCTAGGCCGGTAATGTTCTGGTGTTTCTCGTCACTCGCAATCGGCCTTGTCTCTGACCAGCGTTTGTCATGTCTGTGACAGTGCAGCATTTCTGGAAGCCACACTTTACACTCTTGCAATGGGCGTCGCTTGACTCAAAGTCCCTGACACAGACGCACGCGTGCCACTTGCCGTCAAGCTACGTTGCGTAGAGCTGTTTGCCATCTGACCTTCAGGTTGATCTATTCGGCGAATCTGGAAAGCGTAACCGGAAACGAAACTATACCTCCTGCCTCTCTCCCTCGGCCATCGTCGCTGCAACCAAGCGGGAGATGTGTCCCTCGTCATCTGCCACAACCAAATATCCGCCAAAAGCAACCATGCCAACGACCCTCCTTTCCAAGGATTGGCCGATTGGCTACACATCGTGCGTGCAAGCAATGAGCTGCATTAGTAGGACTTTACACTGACCAGCCAAGTCCGCCTCAGATTCAATGCTGACACTAATAGAAATGCAAGAGCTCCTCTTGGCTGCTGGAGCCGGCCAGACGTCTACCGCGGCCGAAAGGATGATCTTGCCTAAGGACGGGCGCTCAGTGCCATCGCTTCACCTGGCCGCATCAGTCCCTGAAGCTGGGCCTTCCATCATCTTGTACTTGTAGCGGACGATAGTCTCCAGCCTGAGTCTCGAAGGAACCGCTACTGCTGAAGCTCGCCCTCTACTGCAACGAGAATGCTTAAGTCTTTGGTCGGGACACGTCAAGTCTTCTTCTGACACTGAAGCCGTGTAGAGCTCCGCTGGAGTTCCATGACCGACACTCGTCGCGGCGACGCAGACTACGCGCCCTTGATGGCAATGGCAGGCATTTGGAGTTTGTACAGCACAAAGGTAACATAAGATATCATCATGGCCTCACTATCAATTTCCACAACAGTTCATCAAGCGGCCAAGCTCCCCTCCACCCAAGTTTTCGTCGAAGGTAAGGGAGGCTCCTTTTTGCTGCAGGAGCAGTCGCACCATGTGGGAATGCAGCGAGCAGAACTGCAAACCAGTACTGTTTGGCTGGGCCAGGTACCGACTTCGCCTGGTGCTTTGGCAACCAGAACCTCGCGTCGCCACCAGACCCATGCAGCTTGAAGCCAAGCAAGCCAAAGCCCCAAGTAGGCCCCGTAGGCATCCGTAGGCCTCGTCAGGCTCCTGGAAGGCTGCCACCAGAAACCACTGACCCCACGCATAGGGCGAGCCTAAGACTTCACGTGTGCAGACAGGAAAAACCATGCAACTCTGGCGAGCGGCTGGTTCTGCTTGACGGATCGTCACCTTTGTCAGCGTTGTCCTGCAACATGCTCCAAGTGCCGTGCCATGAGTGTGTCGGGAGCGGGGGACGCTAATTGTCAGATCAGTTGGCGTCCCTCTGGACTCTCTCGCCCTTTCTTGACCCTCTTGATCACTATCGGCTCGAGCGCCCCCCTCTCTTGGCCCTGTTAAGCCCTTCCCGCTCTTGGCCCTGGCTACAAAAGGGTCAAGCGGGGCAAGAGGGTCACACTGCAAACAACAGGCAGACGCGATGCATGTCAGCATGCCCACAGCCCAACATTGCTTAGTACAATTAAAAGAAGGTGCCTCATGTGCCTCTCCCAGGATGCGCTCGTCCACCTCCTTCTCCCTGTTCTGACTCTCTTCATCGGAGGAAATACTTGTGGTGGTAGCATCCTGTACGCGCATTAGGACCGATAGCCTCTGCTTCTGCTGGCTCACAGTACGTGCGGATTTCATGCAACTGTGCTTCTATGCACTCCGAGCAGCAGAAGGTAATTCTGGAAGTCCTGAAGCGTTCACTTGCCGCTGTATGCTACAAGGAACCTGTAAGGTCTCAACTTGATCAAAGCAGCGCTGCTGGGGTAAGCTGCGGGATGTCTCAGCCAGAGGCTGCTGTGCGATGGCAGCCCTCGGACACGAAAGTCGGGTCGAGTCCACCGTCGCGCTACGGACCAGATTCCTTGCAGGCAAGTTGCCGAGCCCACTCGCAGAGCTCCGGCTTGGAGAAGAAAGGTGGAAGATCCGGAAGAGGCTGCTCCTTGGGAACTTCGGAAGGTACATTGAGGAAACAAGAGACTCAGACGTTAGCAGATCTTAGCAGTGACGTCTGTATTGAACTGTATTGTACACCGTACATGTTATATTGGACTTGCTCTGCCGTGAAACTCGCATGATCAGACTGCATATTCGCGAAGGAGAAGATATCCTAGTCTAACACCTCGACGACTGCCAAGCTTCTATCTGCTTGGCGAGTGGGCACTGCAAGACCTTCTCCTTGGAAGACCAGCGCAACTAGCCCTTGTCACGCTTGGGCTCAGCCTGAAGCTACACTGTATGTCGTTCGTGTTCGCAGACCTTCCAGGGAACAGGGGTTCTGCTTAACATATCTATCTTGGCGAGCTGCCCAGGCGTCGCGCGCCGCCGCTGAGAAAGCCTCGCAAACACAATAACTGCGGAAAAGAACGGCATTATCCAAAGGACAAGCATTGCCATTCCTGATCGCCATCGGAATGCATACACTTGAGCCACGTGGGAGTCGGGGCAGTCGGGGCAGCTCCTGGCTTGCGGGCCCTGAGACGAGGCACCGCACAGCCGGCCCAAAGCTTTACGCAGGCGCCGGAGCCCACTGCCACAGCATCGTAGCTGGCACCTACCGTGCGGTCTCTACGCCGCTACGCGCTGGGTGCTTTGACAGGGTTCGCAAGTTTCGCTTCTTCACTGAAGAAGCAAGCTTGGAAAGAGTAGGAGCAGTGGCAGTTTTGATTTGCTGTGGTTGTTGGGATTGTCCGTCATTGTTATGTTGCGCAAACCTCACCGAGCACCCATTCGGTTCTCTGCAGTCGGAGCAGGACTTAGGGGCACTCAGGAAGAGGCATCGCCTGGTCGACTTGTTGGGCGGTTGTTGGTCAAGTCGACATGGAATGTGGGTTGCGCATGACTGTAGCAGATTCATCCTTCCGTGCACTGCTGGTGCACTGCTGCATCGGCTGATCCACATATGCGAACCATCGACCCATTGTGCTGCATCTGCACAACAAAGCACATGAGTGTTTCAATCAGTGCGATTCAGCAAAGCCACTGCCCCCAACTGGCATGCAACCTAGCCCAACCTTCCAAATACTGCTCCTTCTCCGCAGTCTCCTCTGCGGATTGATCTGCCTTGTAGAGATAAGTTTCCTTAGTATGTAGATCACAACAGATGCGGAGACTGAAGGGGGGGCAATTCTGAAATCGACATTGCTTTCCGAAGTCCCATTGCGGATCGCACATGAAGCAAATCCTGCAGGGAGTGAGGACGCAAATCTGTCCACCAAGAGGTAAAACAGCTGTGTGCTCGTCAATCTGATTCCGAGCTGCATGCCAGCAGCATACTGCAACATGGCAGAAAGGCATGGGGCGAAAACCTGGGCCAAACAGACTTGGAGAGACGTGGTTCAACAACGAAAAGGCTAATGCGGCTAATGCCAAGGAGCGGTTGTGCTGTGCTGCACTGATGCCAGTGCTTCATCCTCAAGGGCTTCAAGCCACTCCAGCACGAAGCCACCGGCCGAACATCAACCATCCAACTACAAGGGCATGTTCCAAATTAAGGCTTCAACGAACAGCGCCTGCATCTCAGCACCTGGCAGGTTCGTCATTGAAGGCCCCGTACGTTCAACGAGGGGCTTTGCAACAAGTAAAATATCTCACAAAAGCTAAGGACCCCCGTGATCTGTGTCGGCTCGTGTTAACAGGTATCCAATGTCTCCACAGTTCTAAGAGACTGCTGCAAATATCCACCAGGAAAGCTGGCAGCCAGCCTGCCTGAGTACTGATAAACTTTGGTGAACTGTCGCATGGCCATTCCAGCTGCATAGTTTCCTGAGCAACGCTTCAATTCGATCTTGGACCGGCACATCAAAAACGCAACCACATGTTTGCTATGTTGCGGCGCCGTACTGTGATCGCGCGTTTGTCACGGCGGACAATATATACTTACTTAATTGTCATTTAGCAGAGCATGAAGGCCACGCTGAAAGCCTGAACGGCTTCAAGAAGAAGAGCAACGCGGCCGTTTATTGACAGGCTGTGCCAGAAAAGTTCAAGTCAAACAGCAGCCCTTCTGTGGACAGATATGAACAGGCACGGTTTTTGACAACTGCAGCCCCGGACAATCAAACAGAACTCCCTAAACCAGCCCGACTGGTCCCGACGCCAGAGGACCAGTCGCATATTTCCTTGTCGTCACTGTCCGCCCTGACGTGTCGTATATCCCCTGAGCCCTGAGCCATCTCCGATTACATTCATGGCGTCCAACCCTCGCCCATGTCCCTCTCAGCCAGTGCACGAGCTCTGCTTCATTGCAGCGCAGCATCTCCAGCTCACGATGATTTGTCCCAGCGACAGTTTCCAGTGGTCCTGGGAGAGTACTGTCACAATGGGTGCTCGCGAAGTGAAAGGGCACACACTTGCCGCCAGTTTGGCACGACATGCCACAATCGGAACCACAAAAGCAACAGCAGCCAAAAAGGAAACACCGACAACTGCACCATTAGACTCTAAACTTGCGCCTCCGCCACCAACACCACTTCAACCGCCACAACCTCCACAGCCTAACCTTTGCCAGCCACGGTTCAAAGGCACGATGCTGCGCAGGCTCCAGGGATGTGCTACAACAGCTTGCCAGACCATTCCTGGACAACGTCTCAAAAGACTTTGACATTCATTTATATCTCCTTGCCAAGGCCTGGCTGCAGCACAAACTTCAGTCAAGACTCCAGTGGGGGCAAGCAGTCAAGTTGTTAGATACCGCTGTGTCCCCGTTGAGAAGGCTTGGGCACATGCGGCTGCATTCCTGCAGGACGGAAGTCTCCGGCCGACAGAAACCTCTGCGCAGTCGACAGCTCTGAGCCCCTGCCGCCCACCCTGGACCAGTGGACCGGGAACAGCGGGTTCCGGCAGCTGGGTGCCGCGAGCCCGCCGAGGCCCAAGGCCAGCAGCAGCGGAACTCTCGAGCGGGCGATGGGCATTGACGAAGAGATGTCGTCTTGTCTGCAGCTTAAAAGATGAGGAGAACTGCTGGAAGCTGGAATGTCTGGCACAACTGACAGTCACACATCTCGCGAGCAGGGCACTGCTATCATATGTCCTTTATTGACCTTGGGAGCTGCAAATCTTTGGCAGCTCCTGTCGCGACGGAAGGTGGAGCGAGCACGGGTGTTCCATCAAGCATATACAAACATGGGACTCAACCCTAATTCAGCTACGAAATTGTGACAAGAACCCCTCATCTGTCGGCCAAGGAATTCCAGCTCGTAACTCTGGGGGCAGGGCTCGACGATGTTCTCCTTGCCTGCGCCACGTGACGTCAACCCGGAGGCCTGAGTCCAATTCAATGCCAACAGCTCCTGTCACGAACTACCACCGTCTACAGCCAAGAACATCATGCCCCTCCGACAGCCATGTCCGCCCATGCCTGTTCACCTACCCCAGGACTCACTGCAGAGACATGCAGATGGATACTCAGTGAGTGAACTTTCGGTGCAATGGGTCGCTGAAATCTGGGACATACGTGCCAAAGATCTAAGCACGGAGCCACAAACTTATCCTCAAGAGACTTCGTAAGGCACAGGCGGTTGCCCAGCGATGTCGAACGGTGACCATTGCAGCACGTCTACTTCTGCAATCCATGTGTGCAGCTGAGTGGGCAAGCGCCTCTAATCAATGGCCGCGTCTGAGGTCACGCACCTCAGCCCTTGCCTTGAGACTAAAGCGATGGCGAGGCTCTCGTCGAGCACGGTGATGGCAACTGTGTGGCCTTGAAAGGCACTTCCTTTTCTGGCGCCGAGATCCGAGTCGCCTTTGGTGCTCAGATCACCTCACAGCCTCACGGCCTAGCAGCGCCTAGCCACACACGTCATGGCACTCTGGCCAGCCACTTGTGGCCGGTCCTGTCTCCACTCGTGCGAGCAATGCTCGTGACGACCAGCCAGCCGACAGCAGATAAGCAGTCGCATGCCACAAGTCTGACAGAGAATAAGTATGTTATTGTCACTGCAAGATGTCAGACAAATCCGATTGGTGGCGGCGCTGGCAGTCAACAAGCACGACAAGGCTGCTCGACCTTTAAGAAATACAACCATTGCTTGCGAAGTTTGGGTCTGTCAACCCTGAGACACGTACCCAATCACGAACCAGCAATGCTGACTTCAGGTCGCGGCATATGTCTGTGGAAGGTGAGATGATGCCATCGGGAAGCCATGCATTCACAGCAATGTAGCAAGGTTGGTACTGGTTCGTGTCTCCTCGTTGTTAAAGGTTCCTCAGTAAGTGCAGAAACAGGCCGTGGCCACAGAAAAGTCTGCGCAGCCTGCAGAATGGCTGTGCAGGGAGAGAGACGAGCACTTACGCGTGCACGAGCCGAAGCGGTTGCCCCAACGCAGCTAACCGTGTTTGAGAAGTGTAGAGACAGCACGTGCAACTCTCCCCCCGTGGAAACAAGAAGCCAGTCCTGGAGCCAACTGAGGACTTCTCGAATCTTGGAGATTCTTGTTGGAGTCTTGGTCCTGGTCTTACCGGGTGCGTGAAGAGGTCTACCTGATGACCTTCTGACCTGCCCAGAAGATGCACGCTTATCTATGTTAGCTATGGAACATGAGCGGGCTGTCTGTGGAAGCATAAGCATGGGCGGCTAGATGTAATGCATTGCACAACTGCGCTTGAAACCCCGCGACATGCGGATAACGTGCTGCCGGGCAGATCCATCCAAGGCGAGCGTTGCACCCAGAATGCCATGTTAAATGGTCCGGTCTCAAGAACAGCGTCGCATGGTACGCAGTTCCAGTGACCAGGAGTGATACTCATTCCATTTGATACTCCGTAGCTGACAGCTAACTCCACTCAAGGCAGAGCCAGTCCCCCCGAAAAGAAAGGCAACCACCAAAGGCTGAACGGACTCAGATTTCCTTTCGAGGGGACAGGCCTGTGGAGCTCGGAACGTCATGATGATCCTTCAAGCCCTCCTTGAAAGGACTGAAGAACAGATGAGTTTAATTTGGGCGGAGAAGCCCAACACATCCAGGAACTTGTCTGACCTGCTTCTGACAGATGCTTCAACGAAGCTAAATACATCTTGTCAGGCGGATGGATAAGAAGACAGTTGCACCAGATCTCCCAAGATGCAATTGCAAAACACCCATGCGCCGGTAAGTGTTCTTCTCCGAGTAGCATGCTGCACTTCGGCCAACGACAGTACATGATGTACAAAGCTGCGCCCGTGGGAAATCTGGCTGTGCAAGCTCTACATTATTGCCGCCCACGCCTGCCGAAACAGTTCACCTGCAGCAGGAAGGACTTGCTAACCCCTTTGACAACCTGTGACAACGACATCATGGACGACATCAAAGATGCAGATGTTGCGAAGCACACGCAGCCCTGCACGCACCGACTTCAGCATGGGGGACTGAGACTGACGCTCTCTGCCCATCCTGGGCCGATAGAAGAAGTGGACAGTGCAGGAAGCTGGTAACGTTGCGAGGTGTACTGATGTTGAAAGTGCGATCGTCACAATGCGTCATATATAAGTCATATTTGTTACTCGATACTATCATGGCAGACAGATCAGACTAAAGCGAAAAAGTACTCGCGCTGAGTTTTGTCGCCCGCGAATTGCATTTCAGGCTTCCCGCTCTTCGGGCACCAGCTGCATTCGACTTGGTCGAGCTTCGCTTCCATGTAATGCATCTGTCGTGCAGTTGCGAAGAGATGAGGACTGAGTGTACGTGACTGTGAAGACTGCCGGGCTTGGCCCTGTTTAGCGACTTCCGTCCACGAAGCTCCGCGACTTCGGCTCCAAACGCTACCGGGCTGACGAGAGCTAGAGGCCCAGGGACCTGAGCTGTGATGAATTTGAAGCCAGGGCTTCAAGGCCACCGACAGACCTCAGCTCAGGCGCTGGACGGAAGTTCAGGGATCCAGGGGTTCAGGCCAAGGAGCTCCGAGGCCAAGATGTCGATGGGAGCCACTGGCAAAGCACGAGCAGTCCTTGCAGCTTTCCAGACTCAAACGGCCCGGACCAAGGCAGGTGATGGCTCCCACTGCAGCCCCGCGTCCGCACGGTGCTGTGGCCCGAGCTTGGTCGCCTGAAGCTGACTAGACTGACGTCACGTGGTGTCGCAAGGCGTGTGAACGTTGTTTCAAACCAAGGGCACAGTATCAGTAGGAAACCAAGGAACGTCGACAACATCGTCTCACCGTGACAAACGAATCCCAGTTGCTAATGCGCCCCACGGCCGAAGGCTAGGCGCATGGCTTCTGAAGCCTTCACACTCCCGATAAAAATATACATCGTCAGACGACTCCAACGTTGCCCAAGACCAAAATCTACATTGCAACCCTTGTCGGCTACTGCCGTTTCACTGGGCACCACACGTCGAGCACATCGTCGACTCCTGCATGACGCAGCCAGCGTACGTCCAGTAGCAGCTGGAGTGTAGTGTATGAGAGAAGCTTGGAGTCTTCGACATCACGACTTCGAAGTGAATCAACTGTATCTGCATGACGTACTACACGGATCTGCCAAGCAATCCACTTCATCCCCCGGCACGGCTCCGGAGAAGTTGTTGAACTCAGCGACGACTGAGGCCTCAAAACAGGTACTCAGCAAGTTCCAACTGGACAAACGTCTCGCACGATCACAGTTGACATTGTGTACTGGCAGTGGTGTGGCAAGTTGCGGTGCCCGTTCGCAGCCGACTGCTGCAAACAGCGGCCACAGGGCCTCGCTCGCAGGTGTGCGCAGTCACGTCGTTTGTCTACAATATGCAATTTTGGGACCAGACGTGGTTGCTGGGCCAGAATTCACACACGCTGCACATACCCATGCACACAACCCAGACCTTATAAGACGAAGACCGACTCGGGCGGAGTCATGCGACAGGCAGCCTTACATTTCGGCCCACTAAGCTCCACCTCCTTGTCGGAAGCCATCGAAGCTGGTGTCGTTCCGCGGGCGTCTGCCTTTTCCGGGTCCGCCCGGGCAGACAGGAGAGCCAGGCAGATCCTGAGATGTCTTGTGGTTCTTACACAGATAATCACACATGCCCCGTCAGTCCACCCCTGCGTGTTGTTTGCATGTATCTTGCTGTCGACCTGGAGTTCCAGGCTAAGCCGCCAAGCTCAGCGGCAGCGAGACTGTACAGTGCAACTTGGGTCGATGGATCTTCAGCGCAATGCATCCCAAACTTGGCAGGAACAGCGATGGCTCCGCATTCCCCGTTCCGCTCAGAGTGTCTTGCCATGGCCGAGCTCCGCGGCTGAATGCAGTGCCGTGGTTCGGCGCTCGCCGCGTGCGGAACTCCCGGGAAAGGCAGGTGCTTCGGATCTTTGGAGGAAGCATGCTCACCAGCCTGGGATCTGCACGGGCGGCCAGCAAGAGCGAGACGGCCTCTGCGCTTCCAGCCCGCGCTGCCGCCATGAGCGCCTGTTTGCAAGACGCCATAGCTTGCAACTTGACCGAAGCTGCCAAGAACTCGGTCACTGCCACCGAGCAACTGACTGGCCCACCTTCCCAAGAGCGAAGGGCACAGGCTCAAAAACGGGCACAGAACCTGGTATCTTGCCTTTGACGTCGCTTCAGGGCCAGCTGCACCACGCTGGAGTAGCTGGCGGCACTCCTTCGGCTGACTTCAGCCGCTGAAGCCCCTGGCCTTTTCTTAACATCTTACCAAATCCCAAGCAAAGCCCTTTTGAAGCCGTCCTGGATTCGTCCGTTTGCAGCGGCAGCTACCCTGTGGCCAAAAGGTCTATGTGGGTGATCGGACTTTCCACAATGACTCACAGCACCGACATTGACATCTCTCACTGATTGCAGGGAGCACAGTTTCAATCGCGCTGATCCGTCAGACCACCCGTCACAAGGAGCGCCAGTTTAGAAAAAATAAACCGGCAAACAGTCTGTTCGTGCCAAGGCACAACTGCTCATCCGGCGAAACCATAGAGGTGCGAGCACGGAAGGAGTCGCGCTTCTGCCGCCACTCCTGCAAGGTCCGAATGAATTTGCTTCAGCATTCTCAATGACTCAAAAAAGGTGTCACGCACGGCAGTCAAAGCCACAAAGCCTGTGCTGCGAACCCGTCTCCTGGCTCAGGCGGCCGATCTCCTTCGGGCATGCAAAGTAATCATGGTCCGGTGGTGGAATCGAGAAACCGGCCCTTGGCACTGCACACATTCCACTTATCCCCCCCCCCCCTGTAGAAGATCCGAAGCCTTTGTTGGTCAGCCCTCCATGCTTTCTCGCGATTCTACAGGTCCCTGGGGCATCATTTTAGTCTGGCGAGTCCGTGTCCAGGCGCTGCACCTGCTCCTCGCCCTGCCATCTCACACCACTGCAGCAGAACTCAAGCCGACACTGATCTATATACATTCTTGCAGGGCTGCCGGGCTGCCCTTCACCATCCTCCTGGACTCTGTTGTTTTCGGTGATGCAAATCTCCGGACAGCGGGGCCTGCAAAGTCTGTGGTAGCTGAACGCCTGCCGCGGCCATGGCCTAAGCTACAGGTAGCATGTGGCAATACCCTGCGCGATGCCTCGAAAACCAAGCGCATACACGATGCTTACCTTGATATCATAGGCTTCAGGTCGTGCGGAAGCTGTCAACTGCCACAAGAGAAAGGAAGCTGCCAAGCGTTCAAGGGCGTTGGAATGCATCTCCCTGGCCTACAGAGTTTCGGCAATTAGGCACGCAAGCAAATGCTCGTGCAACTTCCGAAGGAGTGCAGACCTTGCACAGACCAGCTACTCGGGGAGACTACAGCTGGATGAAACGCCAAACCAACATCGAAAACGAACGCCTGTGAAATTAGCTTCACCGCAGGCGAGCAGGCATTGCGAAACACCCCTAAACCCAAATCCTCGAAGCTTCCTGGAATCCGCAAAAAAATGAATCCACAAGCGACGTATAGGAGCTGCAAGAGGCCCTGGAGGCGGCAAGCGAAGCCGAGCGGAGCTGTTGCGAGGCTGAGAATTCGGGGTTTTCACCTCTTTGGGTTGCGCTGCCTTCGAGAACACAAATGATCGGATCTCCTTGATGGTGATGACTCAAGAGTGTCTGCTGGCTGTTGGTGCATGAAGCCTATGGCCTATGTGTCGTACGCGATTGAGCCAACCTGCATAAATGTCGTCGCTGGCACCAGCATGGCGGTGTTCCAGGTAGTGACTTGCCAAAGATCATGTGGCGTCATATGGCATGTCAGAGGGACTGAAGTCATCTGCCTCCTGCAGACCGGGGCCGGGGCATGGTTCTCTGCCCAAGCTCAGTTTCTTGACGTCGAGCGTTCCTCCGAGTGGCAGACTGCAGATTAGGTCCTTGCTACGACCGGAAGCCGTGAACCTTGTAGCAGACAGCCCCAATGCAGGCCTTACGCAGCCGGGATGGTTGACAGTACGCGGTCTCCTGCGGTGTCGGGGCATCAATGCCACAGAAGTAGTATACGAGAAACTCAGAAGAACTTCTGAGTCTGAAGGGCAGGTGCAGAGCAGGTCGGCGGTCATGCAGCGGCTGCGAAGGAGAGCGTCCCAGGCCACAGAGACGATCGAAGTCCTGCTCCGAACGTCCTCAGCTCCAAACTCTCGGCAAGGCTTTAAAAAAAAGAAGGCTTGGCAAGGCCCCCGCCCATTGGCGAGTGCGGCGAGGGCAGTGTCAAACGGTTGGGTGAGCTGAGACCAAAGGTCTCCGCCGGACTGCTGGCATTGCGCGCCATGCCTCGTGGCCCTGGCCAGGTCTGTTTTAAAGAGCAGAAGCCAGAAGCTTTTCTTCGCATTTCTTAGCGCTTAGCCTGGAATGGCGGTCATGGCTCTTCCGCTTGCCTGCCACAGCATTATATACACTCCAACACAAAAAGCAGAGATGATCACAGCAGTTGCCCCGCCCGGGATGGAGAGAGCAGGGCGTTCACCAGGTGCCCCTGGCAAATGCCAGCATCTCAGATTGACGTCAGACGGCTGTGCAATCTCAGCTGTACGAGCTTTTACCCACTTCCAGAAGTGCATGATCTCCGGTTGCTGCCTTCGGGCTGGCAGTTGGGGAGGTCGAACCCAATTCCTGACTTCCACGTCGCTTTCATAACGATTCTATTACACTGGCATGTTGCCCGTGCGGATGTTCTCAGCCTGGCCAGGCGATGTCAGCGCCATTGCGGACACGGGCCTGTTGCAGTGCTGGCATGTGCGGCGTGGGGCGGGGCTGGGGTGGGGGTGGGCAGGTGGGTAGGTGGGCACGAAGCTGCTGTCTCCGAAGCTGCAAAGTGAAGGAAGGAAACGGCTAAAAGTAGGTGGACAAAGGAGTTGCTGGATGTGCAGCCTCCTCTTGTTCAATGTGTTGGCCAAGGGCTGCGTCCCAGACCTTGTTCCATGAGTCAAGGCACCCGATATGCTATGCCTAACACAATACCGCTCTGTGACTGACGTGCCATGCTGTGCTCAGCACAATGTTTGCCATCCCAAATCCATGGCGATCGGAGACCTCAAATCACACATGGAAATGGATTACAAAAACCTGTGTGCCTAGCTGTCTGCAGCATGGTTGATCCTTCCACGGCTCTTGATCCTGCCCTCCCCTGCCCCTGCCCTAGTTCCGAGAGCAAAGCTTCGGCCGCAGGGACGCATCGGGCTCGAAGAATCCGTAGCTCGGCTTCGGAGAAGATGGACCTGCATCGCAACCCCTCACCCTGGGTTCCCAGATGCTGCAGCTCCACTCGTACAGCATCCAGCAACGCAGCATGCAAGCATGAGGGCTTGCAGGCTAGCCTGCTAAGACATGGTGATTGTCGCTGGCGCATGCTGCTGGCGCGTGGGTCCCCCAAAAAAGGACACTCTCTATGGACAGTGGCTGATTTGATGCGTAAGCGCAGTCTTCGAGCAGCTTGGCTTCGCTTCAGAGGCACCCTCGACAGCAGGATTGTCGAAGTGAGGAGACAGGTCATGCAGGTTTGGAGGTTGGCCCTGGATCGGCCTTCAAGAGGATTGACCTTGATTGTAGCCGTCCCTCCACCTTAAGTTCGTGTCAGCTCCGATCCACATTGAAGGATCCTACACAAACCTCTGCCTGACTTGTCAAGAGACAATTTGCCTCCGGCACCACAGATAATGATAAGCACGCCGCGGGCTTTCTCATGATGAGTTTTCATCTCCACGTCGAGCCAGTCCGGCGAGTACATGTGCTTTGGCCTCAAACACATTTTGCTGTGAAGGGGGGCGCGGGGACCCTGGGCTGGGCTCTTGGCTTGTTGTCCCCTCGTGCATAGTACCTTTGAAAAAGAACGAATGGAAATGTCTCCGGCATGCATCCGCTAAGCTTGCGCTCCCGTTGCCATCGGCCATGAAAAGCTTGAGCTGCCAACTCATCCGCATGCCACTTGAAGCTGCCCGCGCGGATGTTCTTCCTGTCGAGCTTCCACCTGACTTGGCACGAGGGTGCAACCCATCCATTCTCACCCACTTTCCCCCGTGTGCTGCGAGGAATGCTGCCGAAGCAGCCCTGCCAAGGGCATTTGTTCTGGGAACCTGGCTCCTCCATTCTGCTTGGGCGATAAGAGGGGCACGGAACCTTAAGAAGCCCACAAAGCAGCAGCGGTATCACAAATAACCCCTGTCAGCCCAGGGTCCAGACTGTTAGAACGTCAGGGCGTCTGGGGCGCTGAGAGCCAAAAGGGAGCGGCGCCACCTCTGGCCCTGGCACCTATCCCAAAATTCAAAACCCGTCGAGCACCAGCACGCGCAAGCCAGTATGCAAACGAGGAATCACGGCAAAAAGCAAGCAAAAGCCCAAACGAGCCACTGACAGAATGCTCCCGGACACAAGAGCCAGCGCGGGAATAAAGCAAAGAAGCTTTATGTAAGGCTTCCTCTCGGCAACCTGCAGCACCTTTTCCTTGCGTCTCGCTTCACAGCTGGGGAACTACAGTCATCACGAGACAATGAAGAAGGATCTCCTCACTGTCCCTTTGTCCGAAGGGGTCAGACTGTAAGCCCAGCTTCTATGAGTCACTTTTTCGAGCATACGATCTGAACCCTTGAAGGGGTCCCCGGTATTCGGGCACAACTACAGGGAAGATGTCCTTCTGAGATTGAGGCTCTTTGGGCGGCTGACCAACACAAAGACATCAAGCTTGAGGCCAAAGCGCGAATGCTCGGCCCTCAATGAGCGTAGCTGACTTGCGACAGATCCCATGTTCACGTGAAGGTCTGCGCCTAGTCAGGTGAATCACCACGTGTAGCTTGCGGGACCTGGCTTGCAGTGGCATCAACTCACTCTGCCGAAGACGTCTACACAAAGAGCCCCGACAGAGCTGAAGCTAGGGGCCTGTCCGCATCATGCCTCGGGCAGAGTTGACTTGGACTCGTTGCCCGCCGGCGGTGCCTGCAAGGACACCCGCAGCAACGCAGGGAACTGGACTCAGAGATTTAGCTTCTAAATTCTAGCAGAATCTAGAAACTTCCGCGTGCACCAAGCTTCCAGATGTCCGATGCGGGCAGAAAACATCCATGCAAGACGGCGGCCCCCGTGAGTCGGCGAGCAAGCCCATGTTTGCGATTGCAACTTTACACCCCGAAGTTCGACAACTCTCCATCAGGTTTAGCCGGCAACGGTGGTACTCTGTGGTTTTGCGTGCCTCGGCGTGCCTCGGCTGATGTGCCTCCCCGTCTACTCTGTACGCTGCCATGCCTTCTCAGTGTCAGCCAAAGGCATGGCTGCTGATGCAGCAGCAGCAGCACGAGCATACTCCTGACAGGTCCGGCATCCGTGTATTTTTTGGGGTCACCCCGTCCCGAACCGATGCCACACGTTCGATTCAAGGCAGCCGTGTGTGCTCCTCAATAAGGCCCCGCAGGGCTGGGTTCGTACCTGAAGATATCAGACCGACGCGGTGGTAGCTCGACAGACGGAACGGAAGATCGCCGCGCCTCTCCGGGCCAGTGCCAGGGCACTGGGGATTCCCCGTGCCATGTCGCCGGTATTGGGGTCGGCACCCACACTGAGGAGGACCTTGCCAAATAATCCGACAGTATCTTGCCAAAACGGGTCAGTCATGGAATTGACGGCCTCGCAAAGCTCCAGGTTGCCAGCGCGCGTGGCGATCAAAAGCGGCGTCCTCGCTCCCGACGAGGACTTGAAAGTTTCTTGAGCCTGTATGCCACTGGCGGCTGTCCTTCGCTGGCCATCCAACGTGTCGAACGGGCTGCCAGCATCAAGGAGAAAGCGGACGACTTGGATGCAGCCTTCCTGGCGGGACGGACTCGGACAGCCAGACAACACATGTATCATGTCGGGTCATGTCGGCCTCGCAGGCAACATGGACGGGCAACTTCTTCAGCTGGTCCATGCACTCGAGGTCTGCTCCTCTCGGGTCACCATAGCGTGTCGAGTGTCTGGCGACCGGCCCAGACCACGGCCTGCGCGCAGCAAGGCCTGGCAGGTGGTCTCAGAGCCGGAAGCGGCTGCGCAGTGCAGAGCCGTGCGCTTCTCCTCACAGGGGATGGAACTGGCAGGTGGGCCCAAACCGTCAAATTCGCACCTTGTCGACAGAGTGGGCATAAGCTCCGCACTCCAGTAGTGCCTGCAAAACGAGGAAACTCCTCTGTGCTCGAAAACGCGAAGACAAGGCATCGGCAGCCGCGCCTCTGTGGCGGCGACATGGCCACCGTGACTGGCAAAATGCCTGGGGTCAATCAAAGTTTCAGATACAACAACAGAACCTGAGATAAGACTGCTGGTGATAGGGCCAGGTGATCAAATGAACAAGGTGCTCCTGTCGTGTAAAGCATCACAGACATCCCGCAAATAGTTGGGAGAATCGTGCAAGAATTGCGTGGCCTGCCAAGCACAATTTCATAGTGCAAGTTCGGGCCACAGGGGGGTCCATCCATCCGCAGCTTCGGCATTGGCAGAAGTTGGATCCTGGCGACGCGTGCTTCCTATGTAGTGTAACTGCTTCAGGCACCGGTCGTATGAGCGCAGCTCTGACAGATCCCCACAAAACGGCACAAGCACCATGAACCATTCACTATCCCTAAGAGCCAGAAGCGGGCAAAAGGCTTAAAGCTTCCTGGGAGATGAGTATCCGCAAAACTTCGTCTCTGCCGCGGAAAGCCGCCTTTGGAGAGCTCGGAACATCTCGGCAGCTACTCATGGCAGGTAACACCCACACTGTGTCAAAAGCCACCGCAGCTGGTGCTTGCATGAACGAGTGGCGGTGTGAACTGGGAGCAGCCCACCATCGTCTCTGAGCTTTGCGTTGGCCCCATACTCCTGCCAATCTTGTGGCCACATGTCTGCCGCCTGCCTGTTACTGATGGCACACTGGCACATACTTCTGCGCACAGGGTTCACAGCTCCCCAGTGAAGCAGCTGTAACGTGTTAGTCTGGGGCGATGCACTTGTCGTGTTCCAAGTCTGCCATCAACCGTTCACCCGAAGAGCAGAAGCCTCCAACTCCCTCATGTTTTGTGTAAGTGTTTAGGTAGCTTGAGAGAGAAGCGCTTGCCGATGGAAATCCAGGAGACGTAAGGTGAAAGCTTAGTAAGTTGGGACAGCAATTATGATTCCCTGTAGCTGCTGCTTTTGATGGCTTCTGTCATCGGAACGGCACGCAAAAAAAACTCGCATGCAGCATCATGCGGCAGTTCAGAGGCACTTCAGTCCAGCAGCGCCAGCAGACAGTCCACGGCACCGACATGCGCTGCGCGGTGCAGCGGCGTCTGCCGCAGTGCATCGCGCTTGTCTGCATCAGCTCCTCAAGAAATCGATCCAAAGCAGAGGAAGACTGCCTGGGTTTACGAGATCCGCTCAGGGCTTGGGCATGGCGAAAGTTGCTTCAGACTTCAGCTCTCACGGGCCACCGGTCCGGCTGCAAGAAGATCCACCACAATGTTCGCGTGGTTGCCATCACAAGCAGCGTGCAGCGAGGTCTGCTGGGCGTAGTTCGTTCTTTCCTCGAAGCCGGCTCTCGTGTCTGTGTTAGCACTGCAAAAGGCTTTGTCATCCATGTGCTACCCTGATTCACCCTCCTCCTTCTCTTTGCGTGGCTGGAGGTGAGCGTGTAGTCGCCAGCTAATGCTATAGTCACTACAGTCTTTGGGAAGTGGGGTGCGAGCAAACATACTGTATACAAGGAGCACTGCTCACCGTGTTCGAAACATTTTCGAAAGGAGAGCCAACAGCAAGGCAAGTTTAGGCAAGTTTGCCCTTATACCTTTCATGTGCATTTTGCCACCCAGGAGCAACGTCTGCGCCTCGCTGATGGATCAACATCTGAACCATATCCTGCCACAGAACACCCGAGCATCCAGAGTGCAACTGCGGAAAGCTCTGATTCTGCCAACATGGATGCATCAAGCTTCTTGCAAGACTTCATGGCAACTTTAGCCGCTGCCTGGTGGCCACGCATGGCCGCAACGTGCAGGAGGGAGCCCTACAGCAACATGCAGCTGCAACATGCTGACGCTTGACAGCAGTCAGCACAGCACCCAGCTTCAAAGGAATCCAATCGTAACTTCGATGTCCATTCTGTGTCTACACCCTCAATCATCAAATACCAGCAGCAAGCAGAACATGTCAGATTTCAGTTTTGGCACAAGGGCCTGGTCGAACAGGACCGGCGTGTTCACTGCTTCTGGCCTGGCGCGACAGTTCAACCAGTGGCTTATGGAAACGGCAACCAACAAGCTTGGCGAAAAGCCACAGAAAAGCTTTGCCTGTCGAGCAAGTAGGAATCCAAGTTCAAGAGATCCTGCTGGGGCATGTGGCACAGCACAACGAGACAACAACATGAGAGTCCACGTCTCACATTTCTCAAAAAGGCCCATATACAGCTCCTTCTTGGCACCCAGCTGACGAAGTGCATCACGAGTGCGCGCAGCTCGCTGCGTCTCCTAATCTCCGTGGGAAAATGTAGGTGTTCCGGCCCAGGATTACGAGTACCAAGGATAACAATACCGAGAATACTAAGACGAAGAGTAGCAACACATCGCAATAGAACTAGTCTTAATTGATTATAGTATGGAGGAGAGCTTTGGGCCATGAAGGGCGGCCCCGGGCCTTGGTCTCGCTCTCGAAGCCACGTATCTGATTCATCGGCCGGGTGCATGGCAAATCAAACCTTCCAACGCAAGCGGAAGCGCCCACGCACCATTTAGCATAGTAGCATCTCGGTGGGCGCTTACTTTGCCGCCAAAGCACTCCGCCATTCGCTGCGCCCTTTTCGGCTGCATCATATCTTTAATGATCTTGCGCCCTCCTCGCCTCCGCCGCGTGCCTTGAGCCTAATGGCTACGAACTGCTGCTAAATCCCACGTCACATGCTTTCGTCTCCCATTAGCCGTGGTGTAGTCATCAACCAGGGTGGCATCTCGCCGATCGTAGGAGAAGGAACGTGGTCGCAAACTGTGCTACTGAACCGGTAGGCACTTCACCGAGTTCCGGACACACAAGATATGTCAACCGGCTTCAACCGGCAAGCCCCAGCACCACTGCGCTGCTTTTTGTTCGGCAGGATTGCTACAAAGGATCGCTCCTTCTTCATGTTGAAGCTGTAGCTCCTGCAGAAACTCGCTTTTTAAAGGAAGCGACGCCAAACCATCTCCCGTCCATGCACTGTGACTCCGGCTGCATCCAAAACGCCTCTGAACGACCTGCCACAGCCCTTGTGTGCTGTGCGGCCTGTGTCTCCCTTGGTGCTATCATCCTCTTCGTTGTCCAGGATATGCCTGCATTCAAGCATCCTCCAGCGTACCGCGACAACATGTGACGACTATGCACATGAACAGAACTTGCATTCCAGGATGCTTCAAATCACGTAGAGTTGGCAAGCGTGGCAACTGCAAGTAGCTGTGCACCTTCAACAGACAAGAGGAACATCAAATGTCAAGGCCCTCGCACATTTCGTGCAGGACCAACTTTTAGTTGCCCGTATCTACGGGCGGTCCATGACGAAAGGAATGTGAAGGCTGAGGCGGCTAAGAGCTAGCCCAGTGTCGTCTTCCACCGTCTCGTCAACCTCCGTAAAGTGGCAACCAATGCTCTCGTTCACCTATCAATGGCGCCAGGGGTGAGAGCCAAGCAAAGTAAAGAATGCGGCCTGCATGGTGTGCTCCATCCCGGGGGTGTAGAAGCTGCACGGAGGGGAGTGGTGGTAGACCTCTTCACTCCCCCAATTTAAATGGCACCGGGTCAATATGCAGGTGTTGAGGTCAAGACGAAACTGGACCGCAAGCAGTGGATTGGGTTTGCCGTGAACCTGGCATTGGAGAGAAATGCGAGAGAGGCTCTTGGTGCCAGCTCAACTCTAACACATCATGCCGACATTCAAGCGATACTCCAGAGGCCTGCGTACCTTTCGGGGTGTAAGGGCGCTGACAATTTCCAGAACCCCAGATGGACTACCTGTGAGATTCGTACGTCCATGTGCGGTTTGGGGCCCCTATCATGGCCAGCCATCTTCGCCGAAAGGCCAGCTGCAAGGCTCTTCCGCCGCTACATCCTTGAATGACCTTGGAGCTTACACATCGCTGAGACCAGGAATTCCTGTACTGTCGAAGCACATGCTGAGACCACCAAGGCGCTTGGCATCTTTCCGATAAACCTTCTCTTTGCGAGTCCGTCCGACCCAGTACGGCACCACGAAGCAGATGATCAGAGCATGGACGGCCTAGATTTTCGAAGGACCAGGTGGATCAGGGAGCACAGGTCATGCAGATCAAAGTGTCCGCAGCTGAGCGGCGCAGTGCAAGAGGAAGGCTACCAGGCACAGCCAGAGGAGCGGCTCGGCCTCCAGGCCTGAAAAAAGGCCACCACGGACTTCGAGACGCCAAATATAAAAAAACACAAACACGGATTCGCCCCAAGCATGTCAAGTCGCAATACAGAGCGTTCTTGCTGCAGTTGCCTTTGAAGATCAGACAAACCAGCCTTGGTTTGGCGTTCCCTTTCACCCACAAAACGGGTCTTCGAGCAACGGTGGCCTGCTCTCGATGTGCACATTACAATCGCTATCCATGGACGGGAAGCTGAGACTTGCCTATGTGGAACACTGGATCACTCTCTTGCCTACAGGGCCTACAGGCCAGTACGTGTTCGACGATCTGAAAATCGCACACTCAGTCATCATGCCATTCAGCTTGCACAGGGATGGGAGGGGTACCGGTGACTTGGCATGCCGCGCCGCAAAATCCCACATGCCGGTGCCAGAAGAACCTGTCTTCGCTCACGACATGCCGTTGCAGGGCTGTTTCTGTGCCTGTCTCGGAGCCTGCGCGCAGAAGTCCACGCTCATGGAGTGGATCACAACGCGAGGCACCACACGAAGGACTCTATAATGGTCGTAAACCTGACACTCACAGGTTTCAATGGATATGGTGAAACCAAGACAAACCATCCAAGCTCGAGGTCCTGGCATAGATGTAAGCATGGCAGATGGCCAGCAATGCAAATACCCAGTGGGTGTAGCCACCGGGAAAGAAAAACCTTGCCAAAGCTCTCGGATGTTGCGAACCCACGGCGTGGTCCCGGCTGGGGCCGCAACACCAGGACGGCCAGAAAGACGTTCACCAAGCAGTCCTGAGTTACGGCTCCGAGCATCACGTCTCTTCGTAAGGTACATCCCGGGTGTTTGAAGCTTCGACTTTCTGACCTCAGCCCTCAGGTTCCCATGCTCGTTGTGGTGGAGGTGCAGCATGAAGTCATAAGAAGGACCGATACTGCAAAAAGGCCGAGCATCTGCATAGCGGCCCAGCTCCAGGTCAAGGGCCGCCAACCAGCTGCGGCTCACCCAAGGCTTTACCTCCGGGTGGCTGCGGATCAAAAGCCTCGGTGCACTCTCGGCCTTCACGGCTTCGCTGTGCTTCGCTCCCGGTCCCAGATGAGGCGAGGCACATAAAGATCCGCGAAAATGCAAAGATCACAGCCAGAGGCTCTGCAAGGAAGGGAACCAGAAAAGTGCATGGAAACCTGACAGCGCATGTCGCTTGGCTACGAACTGCGCGCTCCCGCTCCGACCCCTGCGAGTGTTCGACTCGAGAGCTCTGCCAGGCTGCGCATATTCGTAGAGCTGCTGGCCCATTGACCGCTGCAGGGCATAGCCTGAGACAAGCTGCAAGCAAAGAGGCGGTGCCACGGTTTCACCTCCCGTCCCACTTGCATGTGGAGAGCTGAGCCAGAAGAGATGCCGAGACAAGTCCATGCGATGGCTTAAGTAACTTAAACTCTGGGAATTCTGGCACAGTCCCTGCCATGGACAATGTAGGGCTGTGCCTATGAGGAGGAAGAAGAAGGCATCCCATTCAAGCCGGCAAGCTCTCGAAACGCTCTAGGAAGTTGTGCACATCTGCCAGTAGACGTCCGTCTTCCTGCAATTCTCCAGGACTGCATGTGCAAAGAACATGGGGCAAGGACTGCTTCCCCCTAGCGGCATGGAAGTCGCTTTGCAGCCATGGCACGGTTCGGAAGTGCAGACCGATCATGATCCTTACAGAGTTGCATGGGCCCCGAATGTGGCAAAGCGCAAAAAACCTTGGTTGAATCACCAAACGGCTTTGATGGCGCTTTGCTCCTCTGAATGGAGCGTCCGCGCAACGATCTACTCCAAATGGTGAGACGGCAGAAAGCTGCAGCAAACAGACGATGCATGGCGTCGCCACATCTTCGGTATTTTCCGGAATGGGGAGGAGGACGGCAACGCTTACTGCTGCTCACTCCATCGCACGAAGTCCGGCAAATAAAATCTTTCAAGGCTTAGCACTGCAGCAAGATCCGCCACGCACTCCAAATAGAGGCTGTCGTGCCAAACACTTGCAGCTTCGTCGCTCACAGCACGACCAAGAGCAAAGGCGGCCCTGAACCATAGCCCAGGATGCAACACCAAGAGCTGTGCCATAGAGCTACGGTATTTGGCGTTGACAACCGCAAGCATCTCCTGCAACACCTCTAGGACCGTTGTGTCCATTCCATCCACCTCGCTGTTTACATAGAGGAGCAAGAAGCGATCACTTTGCACAGCCTCGAGCTCTCTCACGAAGAGTGCCAAAGTTCGCTCATCCTGAACGCCGAGCGGTGGGAGGCGTGCCCCGAGCAGCACCACAACTTCGCGACCGAAGTGGTCCGGCCCACCGCTGTAAACAAAGCGCTTTGGTTCACTTTCGGCTGGAATCTCTCTGGCTCTGCGCAGGTAACGGATGCAGATGTGCCTGGCCTCCTCCACCGTTTCAGCGTGTATCATGGTGCCCTCCAAGCGCTGCATCGCAGCAAAGTCGGCATCATCGCGGGCATGGAGAAAAGATCGATCCTCGTCACCGAAGACGAGATCACTGTCCTCGGCCTCGTCGTGACTGTCAGAGACAACATGGTTCGAGACCCGAATGCGCCGCTCTTCCATGCTTACCTCGCCCCACTCATTCCAGCAACTGTCTGGAAGAACGGCTGCAGCATGCCTGGCCTCGAACTCATTGCGTGGAAAATACAGAGGTAACAAGCTCTCGTATAACTCAAGCTCGTGTGTCGTCCCGGCCACTAAAACAGCACTGTCCACGGAGGCACGCAGCTTCTCCAAACACCTTCGAAGTGTCCTAAGCCCAACATGAGCTTGCTCCTCCATTGGGTAGCCCTGGCTGTACCAATAGCAAGGAACCGCCACTGTTCTGTGGCCAGACTCCACGAGGAGCTGCATCGACTCGCGGTAGCAAGCGTTCAGCGTGTTCTGTGCGGCCACCTGGTACTTGTCCTGTCACAAAGCATCGGACCAACTCAGGCAAAATTCCCCTTCAAAACCTTACGAGCGCTAATGCCAAACCATGCTATTGACACGCAATTGAAAGGCTCCACATGACTACAATCAGATACAAGCAGAAGCTGGACCCCGGAGTTGCCTCACAAGACGGGCTAGACATTGACATGATTTTCATCAAGCTCTGTCACCTCAACTGAATCTTACTTTCCAGCCCAACTCCGATTCGTATCTTCCCCCGAATTCTTTTTTTTGCTCCAAGGGCAGATAAAGCAGAGGTCCGCAAGGCAAGTCCTATATAAACGAGCTCCTTGTACTTGGGCCCGACCGTCAGGAGAAGCCGCTGGCAGGGTAAGTTGTACGCCTTGCAGCTGCGAGCCTGGTGCCATCCACCAGAATTCTGCAACTTGAATCCGAAACCCTTTCGATCCCAATCACAATCACACACGCCCCACGTACATGAGCTTGTGGCTGAGATGGCCTCCCCACTCCGGCAGCCCTCCATGTGGCGAAGCTCTTCGCGAAGGTCCTCAAGGAGAAAGCACGTGCAAGGCACGAGTCAACCTCTCCTCCCCTTCGGGCCCTTTGGGCCCTTTGGCCCTCCCCTGGCCATCCGTCGTCCCATGTCATGGTATTTCTTTGGAGCCCCGGAGTCCGGGCCACCGTGCTGCAGCACGCGGCCGAAGACGGTACTGCAGCCTGGCGTGTAGCCAGCAGCCACCGGAGCCAGCAGCGCATCGACCTCCCCGGGACCCGAAAAAACAGCACTTCAGCACCCGTCTTTATAAAAAGCTTCAAAAAAAACAGAATGCCGTCCGGCCTCCAGGCTGCAAAGGTCGCCCTGCCAAAGAAAAAGCTTCGAGTTGATCTCCGGCTCCACAGAGAAGGGCCCTGGGGTTGTGGCTGAGGCTTAGCCTATGATTTGAAAGCTTTTGGGGTGGGGTCTTAGCTTTCAGGGGTGCGTGTGATGACTGCTCGTGCGCGCCGCAGCCGCGATAACTCTCGTGCTTACGTTGACACGAGAGCAGTAATTCATGTCACTAGCCTCGGCGACTTCTGATTCAACACGAGCGCGATGGGAGCACTCTTGGCCCACCCTGCTGTCACACAGCCGCTCATTCTGTCGCCAACTCCAACTCTTTCACTAGGCAGCTATGCGCGTGGCCATGTTTGACAGCTGCTGTCGCTACTTCCGAGGCCAGGCTACTGTGCGACAGCGGCGCGTCATCGAGGCCCCAAGCACCCCAGGATGTAAGCGCTGCCAGTGGCGTGGCTATCGGTGCCGGTAGAATGAGACCAGGGCTAGAGGGGCCAGGCAGCAGGTCGTCGTCATCCCCTGCACTGGATTTATACATGTGCTCTTGAAGATATGAGATCGTTTTAGTAGCCACTAATTACCCTCGCTAGCAGATGCCTTGGGACACGTCCCCATCAAATTATTTCGTAACTCCTGCTCAACTCCTGAAGCGCATTGACTCCCCGTCTTCTGCGATGTCTCGTCTGCAGATGCTCGCTAGTCTGCCGCTTTGGGCCGCTGACACGTGTTTTACGAATCTGCTTTTGCGCCCTGGCGAGCCACACGGGGCCTGCGATCCAAGAAATTGGATCTGACTCCGCGGTCGCTTGCACCACAGCATTAGCCTGGGCACACTCTAAACAATCTGGCGTTGGCTCTGAACACAGTCTTGTCTTGCGAGCACAAGGGATGAACAGCTTCAAACCTGCAAGCACTGCGCAGACTAGCCTTGTCATAGTATCGTAGTTACCTTACCGTACCATGCAGTGTCCCGTCATGCTTACAGTTGCCATCCGTCGCCTGACGGGCTAGCTCGTCGGCGGCTGCGCCAATCACCAGCGTCGACTGTCGCACCACGGCGCTCGCCGCACTTGCAACGGAGTCCATGGCAATGGAGAGATGCGCTGACTGTGCCGGGGGTGCAGAGACCAGGCTTCAGGGCTGCAAGCTTCTGCCTACGGGCTCAGCGTGTGGCTGCTCGGCTAAGCATGTCAGCGCCTCATGCGCCCGGAGTGCTGATCTTCGTCTTCACTGATGCCGTATGAAGCTTGAAGCATCGCATTGTAAGCGTAAGCAGGAACTCTGGCCCCAATCGGGCTAGGTGCATGGCTAGATTTAGAGAAAACTTCATCATTGCACATGCACAGTGAGCAGAACCTCGGGCCACCAAAGAAATGTCCTTCTACATTCTTCGATAACACATGTGCTGTCTCGCCCATCTGGACATGCAGCATGACATATCTGGACTTTCCCGATTGGTGATTGAACCGTTCACTGTGATACTCAGATGGAATCATAGCAGCTGAAGGTCTGAGATGCCATGTAGTAAGTGGTCCATATGTCAAGACCAACATTGATCACCTGAGAAGTAGACCACTCCGTCTGATGCAGGACAAGATGCGCGGACGTTGCACCGTGACACACGTCTAAGGCTCGCTAAGTGACAATGGCCAGCAAGTAGAGGACCATGTAGCAATTTTCTCTGGTCTCCTTGTATTCCTTGGCCCATTTCAGACCACAAAAACACGCAGTCTTCCCAACTCCCAAAGAAACCAAGGCTTCACATCTCCCATCGGCTATGCCGCTATTCACAACAGAGCGAGGCTTTCCAGTAGCTAACCGAGAGTTCGGTGCTTCGCAGTGGTACGGCTGGCAAGGAAGAGCACGAAAACCAACAGAGGAAAAGCGCCTCTATCTCACGACGGACGATGACAGAGACGACCAAAACAGTGTCATGTGGAAATTCAATAGAACAGGCGCCGGAGGCATGCACAGACTGATTGGTGGCAAACTGACAAAAATGTCCTACTCTGTCAGGCTTGGGGCTCCCTAGACCAGCTGCTCTTGCATGGTTTGCTCTGGCCTGGGCTATCGTGGGCTGGCAATGTCCATCAAGCACCGATCGCAGGCCCTGATGTAGCCAGCCCGAACCCGAACCCCCTGCCATCGACCAGTTCGACGGTGCGGGCCCACAGGTTGCAAACAAGTCCGAGTTTCGAAGCCAATGGTGTCTGCCACACGGCTGCACATGTCTGCCATCATCAGGTTGCCCACACAAACAATCAGAGAGAAGGCGATGGTGTACACCTGATGTATGACAAAGGTGGCACTTTAAGTGCTGCACTGTCCATTCCATTCTGTCAAGTCCTGGAGAAAAGGCTTTGTCTGCTGCCATGCAGCTATGCCAGGCTGCTGACCACCCTCGTAGTTAAACTTCAGGATGGACCAAGCCTCAAAGCATGCAAGCTTCGCAGGAAGCTTCCCCGTTGCCAAGGCAGACTCTGGTGCTATCGTGCCAGCTTTGCATGCAACAGACCTAAGTGTAGCCAAGCAGCATAGGGTGCATAGAAAATTCCGAGGTACAAAGCGACGCCCAACAGGATCAGGGCGAAGCCTCTTCCCAGCCTTGCGGTGAACTAAATTGGCAAGATGCGTTCACTTCACTCTCCGCGTTAACTAGATTGGATGGATTCTGGTATCAGAAGGCGAGGCCTCTCGAGCCTACCGGCAAGGCCAGTTGTCCGCATGTTCCTCCAATTCACCTGAGTTCAAACCAACAGACATCCCGACCCACAGATCCCTTTCTCTTGCAGCGACACCAGCCCTCCGAAAGCGGCGTTCGATGTGTCTGGGATACTCGCTGAGGTAGGTAGCAAGACAGGTAGGTCGGTCGGTAGGCAAGCAGGCGTGAGGGTTGGTCGGGTTGGTCGACCTACGCTGGGTCGCGCAGTCTCCTCCTCCTCTTGCTCCTGCTGCTATTGCTGCTTCTGCTACTGCACCACCACGACGACCCCTGCCTCGACCACTGCCATTGCTGCTACTGCTACACTCACCGGTCAACAGCGAGACCAGAAACTACAGCGCCGCTGGCTGCCATCATCGTTTCTGTCACTTGGGGTCCCGGCGCCATGAGGCTCCCGCACGGCAGGGCTGGCTTCGAGGCACGTGCCACGAAAAGCAAGGCCGGAGGACAGCATAAGGGCTGCCTCCATGGTGGCGTTTGGGCTGGTGGTGTTTGGACTGCAAGTCATGTAGAGCCTGCCTGCTTTTAGAACATGCAGCTGGTACGACATATAATATGTCGAAGGTTCCCGAAAAGCCTAGAAGCCCGAGATATCAGATGCATCCGGCATGGGAATGTTACCTAGTACTCCAATACTGCGTTCCAGACATGAAGCCTGTGCACGACTCCAGACCGCCACACCTCATCCCTCGCCCGCTCTGTCTCGAAGACAGCGAAGGCTGTGGAGCAGCACCTGCCGCTCTTCGACAAGGGAGAAGGCTGCAGAGATTTTCTGCACGTGCTTCCGGGCCTTATCGACATCAGAAGATCGCGAAACTCCTGAGCAGCCGGACAGCTACGGGGATAGTTGCGGTGAGGTCAGATCCAAGCTCGCAGCATCCTCTGACAAAAGCTGCTCTTGATCCTGCGTGATGCCCGGGCACATTGCGTCCAGTTGGCCAGCTTTGGACACTCTGGGCTCTGGACCCTTCAACATCGACTTCATTCCATACAGAGTTCGGAAGAACGGGTTTCGTTTGCATCCCAACAGGTGCAATGAATGTGAAGAGCGCACGTTGCGCACAAAATCTCCTCTGTGAGGATCATCTGCTCGACATGGAACAGAGTATTTCTGAATGGGCCCATGTCCTGTACCGGTTGCAAAGCATCTTGTGGCATTTGCTGGAGTACCAGGCTACGCATACAATGGAAAACACACGCAGAGTAGGCCGTAGGGGCACATGGTAGAGTCTGGTACCGGAGCCAAGTCACCATCGCAGAGTTTCCGTCCTGACGAGTGACGACGCCTCGCAAAATCCGGCAGCTCTTTCGGATGCGTTCCGCCCATGCTCATGCACGAAAGGCGCGCTCCATGGCCTTGTTGCTGTACATCCTCTCCTTTCTCGAGCTGTGCACGAACAGCTTCCTGAGCAGCATACGGCAATCTCCCTGGCCTCTGATGGGAGCACCTACTTGTTTCAGTTTCATCGACTGATGGTTGCAGGCATTCAGCCAGGCCTGGCACTGCCGGCGTCTATAATTCGTGAAGTTCTAGAGATTTCTAGCTTGCTTTTGGCCCTTCTGCTCTGGTGGCCCTGCCTGGGCCAGGGCTTTTTTTCTTGGTACGCCTGAGGGGACATGGTCCCGGTTCTCGGTCACAAAGCAAACATGCACAGCAGCTTTTTCTTGTTTGTTGATGCAACTGGGTGGGTTCCTTGCAAGAGATTTTCTAGCTCGTTAGCCGTGGGGTGTGGTCGATGAGCCACTGACATCCTCGAAGCAACTGTGAGGATTTTGAGCAAACCGACACTTAATCAACAACCAGACGACTCTGCCAAAGACAGGCCCCACGGCCGCGCCTGATGTTCATGGTAGTCCCAGCAGACAGAGACTCCAACCACTGCGTGGCCAGTCGTGAGCTGCAACCTCTCCTGTGATGACGCACGTCCATGCTGCTTGTACTTCGAACAGATCAAGACAGGTTTACAGGTTCACTTCCGTATTGTATCATTACCAAGCAATCACGCACGGCCGAAAGCAAGTAAGGCCCTGGAATTGGAACTAACCGAAACAAGGCCAGCCCCATGTGCTTAGAACGAGGTTGTCTTGAACTCTTTCGAAGGATATCTGGAAGACTTTGCACAAGGTTCTCCTTGAGTTCTTCCTCCATGCGCACAGTTCCGTCCAGCCACGGTAGGCCAGACAATCGAAGTGCATAGTCTTTCATGGTGTCCTCAGGCCAGATGAAGCAGACCAGCGTAGAAGCGACTCATGACGCCGGGGAGAGAGAGAGAGAGAGAGAGAGAGAGAGAGAGCGGGAGAGAGAGAGAGGGAGGAGGGAGAGCAAGAGAAACCATGGGTGAGCACACGGACACGTCGGACACGTACAGCAAGACGGACGTCGAAAGGTCTGAGAAGTAGGTTTAGACTCTGCAACAGAACTCCGAACTTACAAGGCGCTGAACCCTTTACCGTGCCCAGCGGCGTTGTTGTCATCGAGGCGCTCCCAGAAGTACAATTGGCGAGCGCCGAAAAAGACACTTCCTGTAGCTTCAACGTCCCATGGGCTCCATGACCCGATCTGTAAAGATCTGATACCGCTTCCCTCACTGAATGCAGCTCGGCCGCCTAGAAATGAAAAGATGTAGACAAAGCTCAGAAACCACGTCTTCAGCCACATGAGCCTTGGCTCAGGCAGGCTAGGGCCCTGTCAAAATGTACGCCAGAATCGAAAGTTACCGCATCTGCACTTCACCGGAAGTCAGCTGGCTTCTATCTACCCACGGACTTCTGCACCCTCCGATCGTAGCCTCGCCTCCGCTGTGTCGCACGGCCCCAGGCAACCAGAACGCAGTTCCGAAATGCCTCGGTTTGGCTGAGGATCTTTTGCCAAGCGCCGACACGATCCCTGCACAGCAATGAGATGCTCATATCAGATCTAGCCAACCATCCTCTCTCGGCCGCTGCATCGTTGGCAGAGAACTCAGGTCTGACAGCAGATCACAAAGCCGATCAGGAAAACCATATACTACATGGCCCGGCTCATGCTTGGAACCCCCTGTGACTTCTCCTTTTTCGGGCAAAGCGCAAGCCGCTAGTCAGCTCCAAGAGACTCAAGAGACCCGTATGCCAAGGACTTCGACTTCTCAGCCAGGAGTCCACCCGGTTCCTGTTCATCCTCTGCAGAGAAGAGCGACTGCAGAGTTGCCTTGCGCGCCTCGCCGGTGCTGCAGCTTGCAACTGCACTGAGAATCCGGGAGCTGGTCAGAAGTAGAAATCCGGAGGCTAGCTGCACCCCTAGCGGCAAATGTAGTGCAGATCTGAGCGAATGCGTTCTGTCAGAGAGCCATCCAGTTATCACTGGAGCAACTGCGGTCCCAAGGCCGCTTGTGCAGAGGTGTCGAATCGAGACGGCCAAGCTGATCTGAGACGAAGGGAAAACTTTCGTGAGAAGCACCGATAAGCAAACGCTGCTCAAAGTGAACGAGGACATGTAAGCAGCTGATAGGGCCACGATGGAGAAGATGTTGTTCATCTGAAACGACAGGAGCGCTAGACACGGCCAAATCGTTGCCATTGTAGCCACTCCAGGTGCCAACAGCTCGATGTTTTTACCATTTTCCTGAAAGTTCTTGACGGCTTTTGCACCCAGCATGCTCCCGAACAAGCCACCAACGATCCCTGCACAGGCACATTCCAGGCCAGCTGTTCGTACACTCTGCCCATCGAATCTCTGCAGCAAGGTCGGGAACCAATCGGCGAGGGCACTCTCCGCAAAGGTGTTCATAATGCTGACCGCGACGATCACCAAGAAATGCTGGTTTGAGAGAACTGCTTGGTATTTAGATATCGTTGATGTCGCCTCTTCAACTACATTGACGTCATTGATGCCTTGCTTGGGTTCCCTGATGAATTGCACGGCGGCGCTAGCAATCAGACAAGGTGCACCAACAGTCATCACTGCTGCTTTCCAACCCGCGGCTTGTGCAATTACCGATCCAATTGCATAGCTGAAAGCTCCACCCAACAAGCAGCTTACCTCAAACAGTGCAAAGACATGGCTTCGATCTGGAATAGGATAATAGTCCACAAGCAAAGACGGGATGATGATCATGCCGCATGCATATCCCGCCCCCACGAAGACTCGCAGTATGCAGAGAAGTCCAATGCTCGGCTTGACGACAATCAAGCAAGTCGAGACCGACACAACCGCGCAAGATGTAGCCAGAACGAAACGTCGGCTGACACCTTTTTGGCTCGCAAATATACCTGAGAAAGCTGCAGCTGCCACTTGCGAGAATTGCGTCGCGAATGCTGGAAGTCCAGTTTGCGCATCCGTGCATCGAAGCTCGGTCTGGATTTGCGCCTTCAGTGGACTCAAGACGGCTATAGAAGCCGTCAGGAATGCTCCCGCGAAGGCAATGGAGAACAGTGCTTGCCTGGCACCTTTCTGTCGACAGCCCACTGCCTCATCCATTGGCCGACTCGTCTACTCTAGGAAGAGGGGTTCAGTAAAGCACGCACTATGTGAGCGTCCCATCTTGTAGCCGCATGGCTACTTGAAGGACATCGGGACAGCGGCATGCAGGTCGACTTAGCAGCTAGATTCTGCTAGATGTCCCTAAGGAGAAGATCCGACGCGCGCCGCAAACGTATCGTGAGACTATGCTATGGCTGCTATGGCTTATCCTATCCCAGCTTTCAGTGTTGAACTAGATGCCACATTGACATGATGCTACAATCATCACGAATAATCTTCAGCGTGACTCCTCCTCTGACTCTTGTTCGTGAATCTTTGCGTCTGCGGGCGTGCTGCGGTCCCGAACTCCTTCGTGCCGAGGACTAGCAGGTCATAGTCCACAAGCAGCGCCAACAGCATCCAGCCTGTGCTCAAGTCGAAACCCTAAACTTCCCTAAACCCTGTAGTACATGGAAAGGGAGAGTGCCACGGCCACAGGTCTAGCAGATGCAGCCGCGACGGTATCGGATTTAGTAGCCGAACGGCACGTGCTGAGAGCGATGATGCTCAACTGAGTACTGCCCCCTCCACCTTCACACTTGCAGTAGTTCTGTCTTTCCACTCTGAGCAGGCTGCTGGAGGCAATGACGGCAGCCCAGATGACGATGACTGCCTGCTTATCGCTTTAGGGAGCCCTGAGGGCTGTGCACCGTCTCTAGAACTGCTTGAAAAATCCAATCCTCATTGAAGCCTGGCCTGGAAGCGGAAGTGCAGCGCCAGGCCCGGACCACCAACGATACCCGTACAAAGATTTGTCGACAAAGGGTACAGGTGGCCTGGCTGCAGGCTGCAGATCTGCTTTCGCCATATGTGGTGCACATGCGCTCAAAACACTGCACGAAACACAAAGGTCTCTAGGGCAATCCAGCTGAACAGCGCTGCAGTACTTACCCGCTGACTACGAGCGATCAGCATCTTGCCGAGCGACGCCCGCTTCCATCAACGTTCGGCATCCTTAACTTCTGCCGCGAGCGGTAAGCAAGGGCGTCCTCCAAGAAACGTGCAAATAATTGGGATGACAGCACACCGGCTGGCAGTGGTCCTCAAGCCCGGCTTCATTCGTCACAGGCCGCATCAGCAGATCGACCAAGATCCTCGGGCATTCACACGTGTCCCTGCATTGCCAGCCAAATTAAGGCGCTAATTATCCAAGTTTCGCGAGAGCCAGCAGAATCACCACCTTTGCTGCGACAGCCGAGTCATGCATGGTCAAGCGTAGTGCTTCTGCAACCTAGACACCACCAGCACCGCTGCACTGACGTAGAGCACCCAGGCATATTTACGAGCACACTTCCTGCAAGCGAAGTGATCAGCAAGTGCCCGTGAATTAGAACGACATCCGACAGCACATCGCTATGAGCAATGCAACTAATGGGAATCCAGCCACCGATCTTTCGTGAGGTAGAAGAAGCCGTCACACTCCTCGCACGAGTCCTCAGCCGATCTGACAGACTCAAGGTGCGAGAAGTCACCATTAAACTTCCCGAGCCAGGCGCTGTGCCATCTTCGCTGGGCACCTGCGGCAGGGATCAAAGCCAGCACCAATCCCGAGAGCGACGCTCCCCGCGCCTGGCATCCGTCCACCACCGCTCCTCGGCAGGAGCCGATGCCGGGATCTCCAACAGGTGCCTGCAGGTTCTCCGTCTTATGGTGGCTCGATGACACCAGGACTCAAAGAAGCTTCAATCTTCTCTCGTCTCTCCTTCCTGCCTTTGGATTGTGGAGCTTGCACGCTCCCTCTTTCACGCACATGGACTGGCAGAAGTCCTGCGGCACGCATCTCATGGAAACTAGATGTTTGCGGTTGTTAGCTCATGTGAGTCCAGGCGTGCATCTGGGGGCATCCTTCACTGAATCGCTGGTGGGATCCACGTGGAGTGGACAGGAGGAGGGACATGTGGCATCCAGGGCAAAGGAAGCCTGAAGTCGAGCTCGAGAGCAGCTGAGGGACAAAACTTGGCGTCTGCGACAAAAAAACGAAGACATCGGCAACGAGTGCTTCTTGGGATTTTTCGGGGGCTGATGTTACCCGGACAACTGATCTTTTGCAGCCGTGCCCATGCCAATCCTTGAAGGCCCAAAATACTGCATGCAAGGCACATTGAGCTTTATCAGTTGGCCGCAAGGCAGATGGCGGACAGAGCCTCGAAGCAACATAGCTCAGGATGAACAGCTGGGATCACCGAGTCACCCGGCCTTCGCTGGGCGTGCTGTTCCTGCGCATTCCACCAGGAGCTCTTCTCTATGGCATGAAGGGGCACAAGTTGAGACAAGGACTTTCGCTTCGCTGCGGCCACGCTGCGAGTTTTGCTTGGGCTCGAAGTGCTCCAGAAACTGTCCCTTCCAGGCGGAAAGACAATAAAAATCTATGTGCGACCGGCCAAAGGCTGCTTTCAGGCAGGAAGCTGATCCCAGAATTTCCCGAACTCTGTTCAGCCTCAGAGGCAAATGTTGCTACAGTAGCTGCCGAAGTGTCATACGCTTCTTCGCACACGTTGTAATCAGCTCTGAGTCCGTCTTGCTCACACTCTGGGCTACTAGTAGGACTGAATTTCTACTGAGCTTGGATAGGTGTGCACCCGACGTATGGCGGCTGCCCTGGCACTGGAACACCTTCATATCCCTGAGATCATCACACAGTTCGCTGCAGTAGAACTCCTCCTCGAGCACTGGCCTCGCAGCCTCAGTTTCCATGCGGCCGATCGAAAGGTTTGCCTAGATTGGCAGGGCAGCAAGGAGTCTTCGCAGAGTCTTCGCAGCGCCAGTGCATTAAACGCGGCTGACGAGCTCTCACAACTGGTCTCGATCACCCCGTAGGATTTCCGCGCTGCCGCTGCTATCGCCTGATTTTACACCCCAGAGAAGAGCCCTCTCATCCGAATGACAAGTTCAGTACTGGAGCGGAACGCACACCTTCACGCACGACTCAAATTAGATTCAGTAAGGGCGATGCCAGGGCATAAAAAATCGTAAGTACCCTCATGGCTGGCATGAAGAGGCGGTTGTGGTCCTCGGTGGCACTTTCCGAATCATAGCCATTTCCGACAGAGGAATAGATAGCTCCATTTTGCGCGGCCCCGCTGCCCGGCACCCATGGGGCGAGGCGGGAACAAGCCTTGGCACAACTGCAGCTGCGGCTTGGTGCACTCCACTCACTGGACAATGCCTTGGTTGCTTCTTGACTTTCGATTATCGTAACTCCGGGCCTGGTAAGGTTCTCAGCCGGAAAGGGGACCACAGTGGCACCCTGTTGAGCCCAAATCGGCCACCTCCACGGGAATGTGCTCTGATGTGATGCGTCTGGCTAGCACAGCCTGAACGGACCACGACGTGCACTCTTCTCAAGATGCAGCTTTGGCAAGTCTAGCTGTCAACTAAACTCTGCCCTCGCTTTCTTCACACCGGGGTAGTGCCATAGAAGCGTGCGCGGCGCAGTTGGTCGAATGTCAGGCCTGCCCTTTCCATGGACACAGATGGCAGAACGGAATTGTTCTTCAGAAGCCTAGGGTGAGGACGTCTGATGCCATGCTGTGCTTCAAGGCCGCAAACTCAGGTCTGTCTCCAGGCTTGCCAGCCGGAGGACTGCTTCATACGTTCTAGCCTGGCATGATGAAAATGTGCAATTAGACCTCGACGTCTCGTTGTGTACATTAGCTCCGGATACCCACATCGACACGAACATCTGCGCTAAGATTGCTGCACCATTGCTATTTCTAGTGTTGCTGCAGATTTTGTTCTGGTCGCCTGGCTCAAAACTTTCCCACGGCTCACTTCGGATTTCGAAGTACAAGAATAACCTTGTGGGCGAATGGATCTATTATGGCGTTCGGGCGTTAGGCTCGCTTTAAGATTTCGACTCACACACGAAGCACAAGACAGGCATGGCCTCTGAGGGTCCGATCTTGCTACTGTTACCATGGGGCGAGGGAGATTTAGGATTCATCGATAAATGGTCATGATTGATGGAATGCATTGAGAATGCTCTGCCTGCGACGTTTGTATTCCTGAGTTTGAACCTCCCCTTGGCCATGATTGCTACCGTATTAATTATGGGTTCGATTCTCATTGCCGCTGTTCTGCAGTTCAGGCTTGCTTTTCTGTGACAACCGCGGCCATGAACTCGAGGTCTAGCTCGAAGCCTTCAAACTGCATCGCTGCGTGCAAAGGAAAAACCTGTGCTGCGGCTCTTGCCTGCGGTAGGAGGACACGCACTTGGGGGAGCTGTACGTGCTCAAAAAAAAAACATAGCGGACATAGCGATGAACAATCATGAACAGACCACTGCAAAGTGCTGGCTCGTTCCAATTCTGCCGAGTGTCCGAGTCGCCACGCAGGAACATCTTACTAATGAAGCCTTAGACGAAGACTGGGCCGCGTTGCAAGACTAAGGTAACGGAGGCCGTTCACATGTCTTCTCTGACCCCGACCACCTCCAGAAATGCGTGCCGCATGACTGTGCGAACAACAATCCCGAGCGTCCAGCTGGCCTTCAGAACTTTGTTTACAGCTTGTGCTAGCTGGAAAAGCTATGTTGAGACCATCGTTGCCTTGAATGAGTCTACCGCTGCACATCACATCAGCAGCTACAGCTACTGTCCACGGTGGCGATCAATACGTGCAGATCATCCTGTTGCGACAACGACTGCGGCTTTTTGCCATCAAGTGACGATCCTTGTTGACCGGTTTCGCCTTCTTCTTGCCCCCATGCCTTACCGACATGCTGAATGCATGAGCTGCGGACTTGCATTCCAGTCCGACAAAGTCCACTGACGAGACAAGACCAGTTCTGACCATGCTGCATCTAGAGCTTGAGCCCTTTAGCTTGGTGCAAACTGAGCGACGGCGTCTCGGTCCACATCTCCCTGAGAGCAAGGCTTCTTTCTTTCTTCCTTGCTTCTCTCGCCAGGGCTGTGGTGAGAGGGATTTCCCCCCTCACCGCGCGCATGCTTCTTCTTCTTCTTTTTTTCGCCAGGGCTACGGACGAGGGTTGCCCCTTCTCTCTCTCTCTCTCTCTCTCTCTCTCTCTCTCTCACTTCTTCTTCTTCCTTCGGGAGCGGTTCTCTCTCTCACTCTCTCTCTCTCTCTCTCTATCTCTCTTTCTCTCTCTCTCACTTCTTCTTCTTCTTATCTCTCTCTCTCTCTCTCACGGATATTTTGAAATCCCTCTCAGGAAGAGCGCGATGTTTCTAGGATTCTAAGAAGTATGGAAGTATGGCACACAGGCATCCTAGACGCGGACTCCCCCCATGCAAGGACCGTTGATCAAGGAGCGCGTCTCACGTGACACGCGTAGCCCTCAGCCCGTGCCTCACATTCTCCAGGACCATGTTCGAATGCCGATCGAACGCCTTGACTCGGGCCAAGATCTTCCGATTGTTGCGGCAGTTGATGAGCACCTCGCTTCGAGGGATTCTGGGGAACCTGAAGGTCCCTTTTGTCTCGGCTCCAACGGGACCAACACAGCTACACACTGCCTATGAGAGAGCCGGCATCGTATGCTTGACACGCGTTGAAAGCTACGTGCGTAAACAGGGCTAAGGCTTTGCTAAGGCTGCCGGAAAACCAAACGTGTCTTTCGACGAGTCAGACTATGTTTCCCAGACATGTCGTCAGGTGAGCCCTCGCACCTGCGAGTTGTCCTTGACGCACTTCTGCAAGACAGACCTGAGTTGCAGCCGCTACCACCCCTCTGCCGCACTGACTTTCCTTTGATCACTTCATTCATGCTGCCCCATGCCACGGTGCATCTGCGCACTCATTTTCTTTCAGAGCCCATCAAAGAGATCCGTCATTTCGGCAGCCTCCTTGTCATGATATTTATGAGATTCGAATCGCGAAGACCGAACGGAAACGTGACGGCAACGCTGCACGCGCCGGGCTGCCACCTGTCCTCCACCTGCTCGGCCAGGGGTCCCAGGGGCAAGAACTCCCGCAGCAGCCGGAGCGTGGCTGGGGCAATGCGAGACTCCACAGCCTGCCTGGCGCTTTTAAGGCAATCTCACACAGACGCACCTCAGCGCCTGACTGCAGGAATCACCCCCCCCTTGGCCTCTCGATCTGGTGGAGTTCCAGGGCTGCCTCCAGTGCCTCGGAGGCCTCAAAGGCATCCCGAAGCGATTCCACGAAAAGGTTGCTGTACCAAACCTGAAGCATCGGGAGGGGAGGGGGGGGGGGGAATTACTATAATTCCAGGAGTTGGAGGGTTGTGTACTGTTTTCGCTTTCCGTCCTTGCAGAAGGCTCGAAGCTCAACAGGCTGCTGCCGCAGTATGCGAATCACCTTCAGCACCTGCTCGTCGACCGATGGGGCTCGCAGAGGCGCCGGGAACGGGATCTGCGCCTCCCCCTCAAACCAAAGATTGATGCCTGTAGCGGCAAGTGCGATAGTAGAGCCAGCCAGCCCTTCGACGTGCCACGGTGCTGCGATGCCATACTAAGCTTCTGACAAACACGGCTCGAAGCTCCGCGGAAAGGCCGCACACGGTGCAATGTCGTGCGAGATGAAAACACAACGAGGCGTCTGTCCAAGGGCGGCAAGGGAGAATCTGCAAAGGGGAAGGGGAGTATTTCCACTTCCCCTCCGTCACCGTCAGCCCAATCCGGGTTGAGATATAACAAAGCGGTCAAAATGCGTCGCGCATCAGAGGCTGCAGGCAGATCGAAGTGGCAGGGAAATGCCCCACCAGAACCAGTGTTCACCTGCACCTTGGCTTGCTCAAGCCTGTCAAGCTGCAACCAGGAGCTCGCAAGGCTGAGCATCTTGCGCAGATGCGACTCCTGAGGGGCCAAACTGATCCGTGCTCAGTAGTGTGTTGCCATATTTATCACGATGGGAACTTGTACGTTTAATTAAACGAGCGACAACCACGTCTAGATAGCTGATTCTTTAGGAACTGCTTCATTGAGCCCCTTAAAGGCAAAATGAGCACTGCAGTGTCGTCAACGGTACCTGGCAGGGCCTCTGCCATGTAAGCAGAGCCCACTTCTATTTGGCATGCGGGTCCTGTGCCAACAGAGCTGAGAGTACCGGGCATCTTTGCAACACCTTCGGGCACTGCACACATCCATCTACGATAACGTCCGCCTCGTAAACATTGGGCTTCCTGAGCTCCGGCGACATGCACAAGGAGAGAGGAAGGCTGCTTACTCCAAGCACTCATGCTCACAGTCTAGTCCTACAGGAACGAGACACCGACTTTGCATCGAAGTAAATCAAGCTGCTTTTGCACGATGCCCCCGCGATGGCCATCAGAAGTTTCTAAGTTGCGAAGGCCGCTGCAAAAACATGTTCAAACATTCACCACTGCATCTGAGGTTTGAGTTTGTGCTCAATGTGCTTAGCTTCTCTCGTTCACGCAAAACTTTAGGCGGATGCCAGGCAGCTGACGGCCAACTTGTTTCCACTCTGTGTGAGCAAGCCGTCTTCGAAGCAATCCTTGACACTGGCTGGCTGTTCTTCCAACTTTTGATTTGAGAACCCACAGGAAGGAGCAATACTACCAGCACTAAACCACCGTCGACGACCTCAACTACCACTTCCTCGGCTGCTGCTGTTGCGACTGCGACAACAAGTACCGTGCAGCAGTAGCAATAGAAGAAGCAGTAGCAGTAGCGATAGCAGTAGAAGGAGACGTAAAGTAGTGCCAGCAACAACAGCAGCAGCAGCAGTAGTAGCACTACGAGAACTACTGCTACCGCTTACTACTATACTAGTACTACGACGACGACGACGACGACGACGGAGACTACCTCTACCACTACCACCACGACTACTACTACCACTACCACCACCACCACTACCACTACCACTACCACTACCACTCCCACTCCCACCGCCACCGCCATCACCACTACCACTACCACTACGACGACGACGACGACGACTACTACTACTACTGTTGCTGCTGCTGCTGCTGCTGCTGCGACTGACAACGACCACGACCTGTAAAATATGGACTGCTAGAACTACTGCCGTTACTACGACCACCACCACCAGCACCACCAGCACCACCAGCACCACCAGCACCACCAACACCACCA